GATTTTTCCTCTAGCCTCTGCGTCCAGACCGGCTCCGGGGCCCACCCAGCCTCCTCTACAATGGGTACCGGGGTCCCTTCCCGGGGGTAAAGCCGGCCGGGGCGTGATGCTGACCACTCACCCCCGTCTAGTGCCGAGGTCAAGGAAGAGAGGAGCTATACCTTCACTCACCCCAAACGCCTACATGGCGTATAGTGGGACAAACTTTACTTTACTTTACTTTTTTTACATACAGAAAGACGCTGGGCGCCGATTTATATACTAAACTAAAATGAACAAAGAGAATGAAGAATGACTTGTTATTACCTTAGGTGTGACGGCCGAGAGTTCTGAAGATAGCAATCAAAAACTGACAGTGGGGAGAAATGAAGAAGTTGGCGAGCTTGCCGAAACATTGGACAAGACTGATTGCGTTTCAGCGAGGGAACAAAAGACATTACGTGATCGTATTATAAGTCTGGAACAGGAACTGAAGGTATGATTCAAACCAATAACCTCAGCCAGAATTTAGAAAGCATATTTTTATATAAAATTTCTGTGCTTTATTAGCATAAAAATTTCTTAGTATTATATTTTCTCATCTATTTATATTCTGTATGTCTCTCTTTCGTATAAAGGTTCGTACTGAAGAATGTGAGAATTACAAGAACAGACTTGAGCTTGCAGAAAAGAAACTGAGAATTCTGCAAACAACTGCTGTTCCTCCACCTACAAGCAAGGTTTCTACTGGAGTAGGAGATGGAGCTGTCGATGCCAGTAAAGAGAACACTAATGAAAATGAATTATCTCTAAACACAGGAATTCCCAACATGGAAAAGCTGACAGATGAAAATAATGAACTGCGTGTAGCATTAACGAAAGCTGGTGAACTGCTGAAGGATAAGACGGACCTCTGTGACAATCAGGAGAAAAAAAATAATGCTTTAACCAGCCAAATAGAATCACTGAAGGAAGTAGTGGCCATCACAAAAGATCTTCTTAATATCCGCAACATGGAGGTACAACATCTACAAAATGATGTTGAGTTGATGGAAGGAAAAATTTCAGACGAGAGGCAGAGGCACAATTTAATGATTACACAAATGGATGAAGCAGTGAAACTGAATTCTGATTTGAAGGCTGAGTATGAGAATCAACTGGGAATTTTCCAAGAATTGAAAATCAAATATGAAGAAAAAGTGAAATTGCTGACAAAGGAGAATGAGAAACTTGAAGAGGAAGTTTCATTGTCAAAAACTGTGCAAAATAACCAAGAATTAACTACTAATAATTCAGTAATTGAAGAAACAGGTACACAATAAATCATCTCAACCTGTTATCTAATACTTTTGACCTATGAAATTTTTAATACAATACTGGACCCCTCATCCAGAAACCTTGGGAACTAAGGCTTTTTGGATTTTCGAAATTTCTGGATTTTGAACCTTTATGCAGGGGAGATTTTAATACAGACAAAATAAATATTTTTTTGTTTTGTTTTCAGATGCTTATAAGTATAATATAATTTTAAACTTTCAAATTACCTCTTAACTGTAATTACATCGTGCTTGAAGACTTTGAGAAAAAAATACGAATTTTGGGATGCTGGATACGGGGTCCGACACTGCACTGCGGATTTCGTGGAATGCCTTTCTCATGCATATTTTAAATGTTATCATTATGAAACAGATTGCTTTCTTATTAACTCATAAGAATCTTTAAAATTATTCTTTATGCTTCTTACCAATATAAAATCATGCATACAAACAAAACTGTTGTATGCATGATTTTATATTCCAATACACTGCATGGTATGCAAGGTTTTAAGATTCTTACCAATATCATTTTCCTAACAACTATTTATTTATTTTTCATAACATATGTCGAGTATTTCTTCTACAGCTTGCTGTCCAACCAACTGGAAGTATAAAATCATGTGATTTTAATACTAACGTCATATTATAAAAGCTACCTTTCATCGAAAGCAATTAGTACATGCACTGAATAGGTCTTTCATTCTTAGTAGAATGGAGTAGTGTATATTCTATAAAGAAATGGTTTTATAAACTCTAAAACTAGAATTATGGGACAATATTGCAAATGGATGCCAACACTGGACAGCAAGATTTTATAAATAATAAAATATATCATGTCCCAGTAAAATATGTATCTATGAATTAAACTATAGTCACTTGAACTAATATATTAAGCTTATAAAGTAGACAAACAATTTATTGTGGTTATTAACAAAAAAGATTTTATACAAAGTAAGCTACACAATATGTATATTATATAGGATTTGAGTCTGAAGATTGTCTTGTGGATTGTTGCACTGTGTAGTCTGGTAGAAGTTTACCGATGTTTCCAGACTACACAACACAACCCAGAAGACAGCCACCTATGTATATTATAACTTGAAGAGGTTCAGTTTGGTTTAAGGTTGAAATAAGGTATTTAGATATTACATTAATATTACTGCTTACTCACCAATTACCGCTTAATAATTTTTTTGCAAACATGTCTGGCAAACTCACTTTCCAGGAGTTATTTCGGTATCAATGTCTTGAAACAGCAGGTTATGAGTATGGAAGTTCCATATTATTTCATGAGGCAGATTCTGTTGTAAAACAAACAAGCAAAGTCAATAAAACAGTTTGTACATAATTTCAGAGCTGCAGAACCTACTTTTTCCTTGTAAATGATGGAATAAAATTTATGTAACATGTTTTGTTTCTGTCTTCAAAATAATATCATTGTTCTCACTTCTTACTAAATGAATCAGACTGAATTGGCCTTTCAAATTTCTTTGAATAATGTCTCTTTCAGATTCCCCTTGATAAAGCTAGTTAGCTAGCAAGCAAGCAAGCACATTTTTATACAAAAATATAAGTTATGCATAACTGCCTTCCAATCTGCCAAAGATCACATTCTGTTACAAAATGAGAAAACATAAATCAGTATACAGGTGGGTGGGAAGGAAGTAGGCATCGAGAAATTGTTATAATATAGAAATATAGAGGTTATAATCATTTCTTAATGCCTACTTACTTCCTACCCAGCCTGTAGATGGAGTATGACAAATCCAAATAGCTACTTCCTGCAGCATGTACAGCGATGGCTTCGAGAATTGTAGAACTCTGTCATACAGTACCATCAGCTTCTATGTGAGATTCGAGATTTCACAAGGTTAAGATGTCAATGATGGTCGTGTGGACTGTGACACCATATGGACTTGTAGGTTAGTTAATAATATTTTACACAAATATTCTGCCTCCATTCTTTCACTAAATATAAATTATGTTCCTCTGAAACACTGATACCAACCTACAAGTCCGCATGGTGTCACAAACCCCAAGACCACCAATGACATTAATTGCCATGTTCATAATGACAAACAGAACTGAAAATCATGAATGAACTTTTGCAAACATATATATGTATTTAAACTATTCTATGTTATAGACCAAAATATATTTTTTTTCCCCGGATTTATTAAAATTTATAATTGCTGTAAGAGCAAACACTTTCCCAGGAAGTGTTATTTGTGAATCACACAATACTGACATGAACATTAAGAATTGTATAATATTGACCAGTAATAACAATGCTGGTTGTTCGATCAAACATTTAAAAATTACATATTTTCATTATGGAAGCAAAGTTCTGCACATTCTCAGGTGATAGCACTTAAGGAGAGTAGTCAATATCATGCTCTGGCTGCCTTTATTCCAGGGAAGAGCATTCTTGACACCTACCAGATAGGTTTGATGGGTTGTTGAGCGATTCTGCACCTGATACTGAGAAGACAGATCCTGATGTTAGCAAAGAGGAATGATCTCAAGCTATCCAGTTCAGACCCAGCCATTTTATTGATTGGTAAAAGCCTGCTTCTCTGTTGCACAGACATCTTGTCCTAAAACCTTATACTATTAAACAGTTATAGTTAGATAAAGCAATAATCTAACAATAAAATGAAATTTAGCTAATGAGTTCATCTGCATAGAAGGTCATAGGGTTGAACCCTGCTGAATGTTCTTAATCTGTTGGTTGATGATGTCTGTGACCTCATTTGATCTGCTCCAAACTACACGGACACTGAGAACATTGGTGGTCTGGGACTCGGACTCTCACTAAATGGTTTCAAAGGGTAAAGAGCACCTGCAGTACTTCCCTTACCTTCAGTTTAAATTCAAACAGTTTCCAGAATTATTTTTTAATAAACATAAGCAGGTACTAATTTGAACCTAGAAATATTTGTTGAATGTTTATAGTTTTCCATAATGCTTCCTGCCTCTGCATTTTTGATAAGTATTGGAGCTGGTTGAGTTTTATATAGTTCCTTTTACAGCAATTCCCAGACTCTTGATACATGAACTAGTAAATAAGCAGTTAATTTTGTGGAAACTACTACCAATCTGTCTTGAGTTTCACAGTACAAGTAATAATTCAATTCTTTATTATTAGTGTGCTGTATCAACAGCCAGAAGGCCAATTACAGATACAGCACAAGAGATGAGCACACAAACACAGTAATAAATACAGAAGGGTAATAACAAACATAACATAAAAATACATTAGTATGGAGGATGCTAATATACAAGAAAAATTGCCACAAAATACATTAGTATATTTGTAATAATAATTTAAATAAATTAAGGAAATTAGACTATTATAGAATGTGATGAAGTGTAACAATGAACAACCCAGAAGACAGGAATCTTGTAACAATTTTCATTTTGAATATGTCCAAGTACCCGCAGACAACATTATCAACTGTTGCACATCTAGTAGGACTATTTAATCGAATGGCTAAAACTGAACATAGAGAAATCTCTCAGATTTTGAGCA